GAGAGAGAGAGAGAGAGAGAGAGAGAGAGAGAGAGAGAGAGAGAGAGAGAGAGAGAGATMAAAATATTCATACAAAAAAAAATGCAGACTCACAGAGGTCTTTTTTTAATGAATTTGGCCATATTTTTGCGTTGAATCTTCTGTAGAAATATGGCAATATTAATTTGAATGTTGACACTCCTTTCCATTTCCTACATGTTGAGAACTTTCCAAAGTCTGTTGTGGGCAGTGGTGCATGTGACGTACACATAAGTGTTGAATAGTGTACGGTCCTTCGTCTGACATATCCCATTGCAGTTCTGTACGAACGTTGCATCACTCGGGCGAGTAGACATGGAGGGGGAGGGGCGTTCGATCAACTGTCTGTCCGATCCGAAAAAGCTGCGACATGACATTAACCTTTTGTCGCTTAAAATCACTTCATCGAAAAGGGAGGTCGAATGCCTGAGCGAAACGCTTATTCGCAGGGGGGATTCCGTGATGGTTATAGTGCTCACAGACGACGGTTCATCAAATGTAGGTGTTGTGCAAGTGCGGGGCTGTGCTGCTAAGTGGGCGGGCAGGGTGCTGAGACGACTCTAAAAAGCACATGAAGAAGTCTTTGTGCAATGTTGGCAATATGTAGCCCTATACAAAGAGGCAGCAACACTTTTATTCGCTTGTGAGGATATTAGGGATGAGTTGCGAGCAAAGGAAAGGGAAAAAAACAGTGAAATGTCACAGTTGCTGTATGAATTGTCTAGATGTCGGGACACTTGTCAGTCGTACGAGCTAAAAGTCGTCTCTTTGGTAGACAACATGGCATCCCTGCGGGCTGTCTTGTGTAGTGAATAGAAACACGCGAACGAGATCCACACGCTTGGAATGCGAAGGCGTCTCTTGCCGTTCTTACGTGTTTGTGGTGTTCAGATGATGCCCGTGTGTCCTGGTAGGTTGCTTCAGAGGGCAGTTGTTGTAGCTGGCATGGCCTTTCTGATGTGGATGCCAATGCCAATGACGGTCTAATAGTGTGTGTGCGTGTGCATGTGAGTCTGTGTGTGTGTGTGTGTGTGTGTGTGTGCGTGTGCGTGTGCGTGTGTATGTGTGTGTGTGTGTGTGTGTGTGTGTGAGAGAGAGAGGGAGAGAGAGAGATTAATTGATATAGAATATTATAAATACGTAGACCGACAGATACATAGATTTGTAGAGCGAGATTTTACCAATCCAAGTGCAGTTTGGAAAATTTGTGGCAACCATGTTGGAATTCGTTGTGATAAGAGGTAACTCGTATTTTCCATTTAATGGGCGATGCAGGCTTGACAACTGTCCATCAGTCTGTAAGCGCACGGACTGTGCAAACTCCGTCACACAAGGCACGAGCACAGTGGACCGCGCGAGGAGTACTTTCGACCTCCCGACAGGAACTGTTCGGTCGTTCGTTGCACAAGGACCGCCTTCTATGCAGATAAGGAGTAATGCCCCTTACGACATTGGTAGATCAGCAGCACAGCCCTTCGCAAGTGCGGTCACGCAGCAAGCAAGTGTCCCAATGCACATGGGCGTACAAGAGCGGCACAGTAACGCAACCCTTATTCCCACAATGGTGGGGAATCCGTTTGATCCGCGGACATCGGCTTACCCCTCCCTCAACAACAGGGAACGTTTCGCAGCCGAGCCTTCATCGTCCACACAGGTGTCGGCGAAACGATCACAAGAGGTCTTTGAGGCACGCGGGTTGGAGCATATATTATGAAATTTGGATGATGACGTCGGCGACGAGGTTGCCGATGAATCCAGCGATGAATTTGGAAATGGAGAACTGGTGACAGGTACCTCTCTCTCTCGGGAGGTTAATGAATAGAGTGTAGTTCGTGTTGGGCAAGAGTTCGCCAACATCGCTGATCTTCGGAAGGCCGTTGCCGACGATGCGGTGAAGAAAAAGTACGAGTTTGGGATTGTGAAGTCAGATCCGACAAGGTACACGGTGAAATGCAATGCGGAAGGTTGCGGGTGGCGGCTGCACGGGTCAGCGGTGCATGGTGGACCGACGTTCATGCTCCTCGCCCAAGGAGTGCAGGTGTTGCTATTTGGATTTCGTCGGAGTTCAAAGTCGACCCGATTTATTGGGAGGTTGATAAAGAAGAAGGTAGATGGACTTATATTCTTGCGATGTTAGAATTAGAGATTGTAGTAATCCTGTATGTATATGGTCCTAATGAAGCTAGTAATCGTCAACGCTTCTTTGGGACCCTGATCCCTAAGCTCCCTGTGGGTATTCCAGTCATCATTGCAGGGGATTTCAATGCTGCTCCGGATCGATCATTAGATAGGTGGCGCATCCTGGATTGACCACGCACTGCTGCGGAGGTGTGAGCAAGCTCTCCAACATTGTCGTCAACGCTGCTTGGGTGTCACGGTGGATAGAACTGCGACTGCGTGACAAGCTGGACTACTCGCCTGTTGACATTGTGAAAGACATTTACCGACAGCATGGAATGGCTATCAAGTACAGGCTTGCATGGTCTGCGAAAGAAGTGGCGAAGGCCATAATTGTCGGGATGGATGACGACGGGTTTCGCAATCTACGGATGTATTGTGACGAGGTTCAACATTCAAACCCGGGGAGCCGCGCTTTTGTGCAAACGGAGGACGGATGTCAGCGCTTCAAGCGCATGTTTTATGCACTGGAGGCATGTGTAACTGGTTTCATGCACTGTCGCCCGCTCCTCGACCTTGACGACACTTTCTTGAAGACAAGATACAAAGACATTCCCTTAAGTGCAACTAGTGTGGATGCTGAGGGTCACCTTTTCCCAGTAGCGTTCGCTATCGTGCCTGGTGAGGACAGCGATAACTGGTTCTGGTTCCTCCCCCATCTCAGTGCGACCATCCAGTCACGGGCCGCCAACGATGAGATTATATCCTTCTTGTCCGATCGAGAGAAGGGTCTCATCAACGAGGTGACCGATGTTTTTCCACGCTCTCCACATGGATATTGCATGCGTCATCTAAGTGAGAACTTCAAGAAACGGAACAAGGGGTCCAAGTACTATAAGTTGTTGTGGGCAGCATGAAAGGCGAACACTATTGCGAAGTTTGACAATTTGGTTGCGCACATGCGTGCAATGGATCCCGACATGACAATGTGGCTTTTACGGACGTGTGATCCTGTGCATTGGGCTGACGCGCATTTCAAGGGACGGCGCTATGGCCACTACACATCCAACATAACAGAGTCTCTTAATAGTTGGATTATGGAGGCCAGGGAGAAACCGACCATGTTTATGATGGAGGACATCTGTCGCCGATTGTGCGAACGTTTCATCTGCCGACGCACTACAGCAACACAAATCCAAACTATCCTTGTCCCGGAGGCGGAGCACACGCTGGCGGTGTGCAGACAAAAAGCTCAGAGATATCATGCGGTCCCGACGAATGACGACATATTTGAGGTCTTGTGCGAGAATACTTCGCATCGTGTTGTTTTGAGCGAGAGATCGTGTACATGCGGGTGGTGGCAGTCAAAAGGCATTCCTTGCTTGCATGCAATCGTAGTCATTCTTAGCACAAACCAGTGCCCGCAGATGTTTTGTTGCCAAAAGTTCTCTGCGGAGGAGTGTCGGGCAACATATGCGGGGTTGATCCATCCACTGCGGCCAAGGGAGATGTGGGCATCTGACAAGGTCGCAGGAGACGTCCATGAAAAGGAAGTTGGTGACGGGTCGGGAGTTGAGGAAGAGGACATGCACGTGGAAGGAAGCAAGATTTTGCCACCCATTGCACGTGCGGGGCGAGGTCGTCGCACAAAAGTCACAGTGTGTAAGCGTACGAAAGGCGACGGGATGCCAACCAGGACTTTCAAATGTAGCTTGTGTGGAGGGTACGGACACTCTTGTCGAACGTGCAAGAACGGGGAGCAGAAGCAATGAGAGATGCTGGACTGCGAATGTGGTTTTTATCCAATGTGTGTGTGTGTGTGTGTGTGTGTGAGAGAGAGAGAGAGAGAGAGAGAGAGATAGAGAGAGAGAGAGAGAGAGAGAGAGAGAGAGAGAAAGAGAGAGAGAGAGAGGATGTTTGTCGATGATCAAGAACACTTAGAATAGTATTCACTGACGATTAGTTCCACGTATTGGTTGTTCTTTTGCAAAACATTTCGAAGTTCTGTGCACGTGTTGCTGCACATGGTCGGGACTGTGTCTGCAACAGTCAAACTTGAATACGTACATCGATAGAGATATTAGCAACTATGTGTGTCTTGTGACGACCAGATTCTGAATTATGAAGAGAGAGAGAGAGAGAGAGAGAGAGGACATTTGCAGTTAACCAAGAACACTTAGAATAGTACTCACTGGTGATTAGTTCCACTTATTGCTTGTTCTTGTCCAAAACATTTTGAAGTCTTGTGTACATGTTGTTGCACTTGGCCGGGACTGTGTCTGCAGTAGTAATACTTGAACACGTACATCGAGAGAGAGATGTTAGCAGTTTTTGTGTGTCTTGTAGCAGACACATTCTGAATTTTCATGTTCCACGAAGTTAAGGTGAGATTGCTAGAAATTGCGAGATCTCTACCGACCTTTGTCTGTTTTCTCCCCTGCACATCCATCTTCCCTCCATCGTGTCTCATCGGTTGCTGAGTCAATTATCGTTGCATTCTTGTTTGCATGAACAACAGAACGGCACTTGCACGGCGCATTGTTGACAGCGGCATGAATCGCACCCATGTCTTTCATGTCATCACGCAAGCCGAACCCAATGTTTTGTGGGTTAATTACAAGCAGGCTGTTGATTGCATTGGAAGAACGTGGTGGGGCTTAGAAATCCATTGCTGTAATTGTCAAGAACTGAAACTGCAATTTTTTGAATCGATACAGTCTATCATGCAATAGAGTTAGCATGCTACTAGAAGTAGATCGGTGAGATGTATTCAGAGTTGATCCTCATGTGTGTGCTGTAGCAGGGAGTGTGCATGTGTGTGAAAAGAAAAGACTTGTGTAGAGTTTAGATGAGGAACACTGAGACAAGTGAGAGACAGAAGGCAAAAAAAGCTATGGTTGGGACTTACCTTGTCTGGCGTTGAGTTCCAGACTCTTGTTGTTCGAAGAAGACTTGTAATCTTGTTGAGCTTCTCTTCCTGGTCTACTAATCATCATCTACCTGTGCAATATGTGACAATGCAATCTGCCTGACATGCATGCTGATGTGAGCACTCCTTGGTGTGATGAACTTTGAGGTTCATTGCACTCACGGGAACTGTTGACATCCCACTTTCCTGTTGAGTTTTCATCGCACAGGCAATACCACAAAGCACACTCAAACGTGGAAAGCTTTAGCAAATTGGACCACCACAGAGCGTCACACAGGAAGCTATATGCTACACAAACTTGGAAATCAAACTATACCTAAAGGTTCATTTCAGACTACAAAGATAGCGTATATTCTTTCATGATGACTGTGCGTTGTGTGTCGAGCAAAGATCGTAGCATGAAAAATGGTGTCCAAAAGCTCTCTGACACCAGCAGTTAACGCATTAAACTGCCATGCCTGCCATTGTTGTGGCAACACCGATTCAATTCCATGCGGGTCTGTATGTGGATCCTGTCCAAGGCACATATGAAAGCATGAAATGTTTGGTCTGCATTAATGAATGAGATGCAATCCCAAACATGGATAGAAAGCTAGCTAAGCAACTTACCAAGTATCGGGTTATACTCATCCACATCACATGCGTACCACAACTCTTTTAACTGCATCTTCACAAATGATTCCAGTCAGATATATTCAGAAAATCAATGTTTTGAACAACAAGGTGTTCAATGTTTTCCAGAGGGAGACTATCTGCTTGCCATTCCACGAAGCTACGACCCTACTATCATGCTGCTGTTGTCATGTTGCTAAAGCACTTCACATGGTGATGAGAGACCTCGAATCAATAGGAAAGGGATGTTCAACAACAAGAAATCCACCCGTGCCACTCGATGGTAAGAAGGGAACAGAGAGAGAGAGAGAGAGAGAGAGAGAGAGAGAGAGAGAGAGAGAGAGAGAGAGAGAGTACCCACAAAGATAATGTGCATCGCAGGGAGGACGCAGGACGCGTGAAATGACCCAGGCAGAGTGTCCTGGTGTCGTTGCACACAAGCAAGGGCGTGACAGAAACATGGGGACACTCACAAATTTTTGTCATGCCCCGGTAGCTCGCTCCCAGGTCGGTTGGAAATTCCCCTGAGTGCCCCCAACGGTGACAAGGGCACACTGAAAAGATGGTTGGTACCGGTAGGGGCATATCGAAAATTTACCCAACGGCTATCTGGTAGGGGCATGACGCAAATTTAATGTGGGTACCGGTAGAGGCACTACGAAAACATATGAGGCCCAAACGACACCAGGGTTGTATGGGAAATTTCACTGCTCGTCAAAGGGGCGCGACAGGGTAAATCGGATGTCGGAGGGGCGCGACGCAAATTAATGGAAAATACAGGGGCACCAGATAAATTTTCCCCTAATTCTTAAAGCCCAACCAATTCAATTACCTGTCAAATCTGGACAGGACGGCCTTTCGGACCTTTTTTTATTGTCATTATAATATTACGGGGAATCCCGTAGCAGCCACATCCGTGCTCAAGCCTCCAATGAGGGAACATGCGGGAGCTGCACCCACCAGTAGGTGCGATACCTGCTACAGCAGGTGGGCGATACCGGCCAGGGGTCAGTCGATAGCATGAGGACCGAGCTTCTTCGATGGGCCAGTCACTGTGTCTCCCCTCTGGTCCCCTCCCCCTATGAACATCAGCAGTCTCTGCTCAATGCCACTCGGGGGGACCAACGACATATCTCTAGGTGGCAAGCGCCAAGCTTGCCCAGGAAGGTACATGAGGCCAACGGGGATTGAACCCAAGACCTCCTGAATGCCACTTGCGTGCCTTACCAACTGAGCGAGTTTCGACTGTACTCGATTTAGAGGCTCACCACACAGGCTGTCGAAAACCGGGTTTTCGACTTTTTTTTTTTTTTTTTTTAATTCCAAAAGAACTGAGGAGAGGCCGGGGACCTCACAATTCAATCCGGATTCATCCCGACAGCATCAGCCGGTTTAGCTTAAACTCTGCAACCCTTAATGAAGCAAGAAATCTAGTTTAAATGCCAATCCACTAACAAGCACTAGAAAAAACTCATCCTATAAAGTCTAGTCCTATGGGAACAGAAGTCCAAAATAACAAATACCTATTCAGGAGAGGATCCACTTCAAGTTACTACAAGTACTTCAACTACCAACCATCCCTTCTTTCTTGAACCTTCGTGCTAAGCGGCCTATCACACGGCCTATCCGTCTTCATGGAGTCAGGACCATTTCTTCTCCCATTCTATCTGCCTTTTTCCTCCTGGAGCCAGTCTGCCAGCCTCAGGTTCCGATCTGAGGAAATCGAAGAGAAGCAGTTGTTCTTGGCCCATGTCTGAGTGAACCAAAAACGGTTTTTTCGTGACTGTTGTCGGGGTAGTTTGCCAATCTATGTGGATACATTGTCTGACCAGAGCCTTGATAGCATTTGTCTGAGCAAGGAAAGGGAAAACCTCATGCTTGAAAGTAGCTCTGTTGCGAGCTTTCCATATTGTTTCCATAACTGCTCCCTTACAGGCCAAGGCCATGTAAGGTCACCCAACAACAAAGTCGCTTTTGCCATATGGCAAGCCATACAGGAGTCATTCTTGCGACTACAGGAAATTATCCCCTGCTATATCCTTCCACCTGGCTTTCCACCATTCCCAAATCTGCATCGAGAATGGGCAGTATAGCCAGATGTCCCAGCCCTAGCTACAATGACAACATTGCTTTGAAATATTTATCCCCTTTAACACGAGCCAAGTAGTTGATGGGGTCGCTAGCAAGAGCTGTAGCCAGATCAAGCTGGTCTGTTTCTGTGAGACCGTTTGTCTCAGAGCTTGCCAGTGACTGTACAGATCCAGGTTGCCAAAAAAAAATTCCAGCTCTTTGGATAGTCTCTCAGCTGCCGTCACTACTGATTGTTTCTTAAGTGATGTCCGCAGTAGCTGAGATCCTATTTTAGTCGAGTAAGAAGATATCGGAACCGGGTTTTTCAGTCTTGCGG